TAGCTCGAGCTGGTATGCAACTGGGCCGATCCGCCGTAAAACCTTGAACGGTCCATGGAATTTAGGAGCCAGTTTGGGAGCAGCCCACTGTCTCAAGAATCGTTGTCGATAGGGCTGGAGCTTCAACCACACAAACTGACCCGGTTCAAACGTTAGCTCCCATCGATGCTGGTCATAGGTGTGCTTCATGCGTAACTGCGCTTGTTGCAGGCAGAGAGACTTCAGCCAGGAGGGCATCACGTTCCTGGAGGGAACGGTCAATCTCGTTCAGTCGAGTCGATCCAGGCTCGTATGATAGCAAGCGAGGAGGATCTGGGCCGTAGACTACTCGGAAGGGTGTCATGCCCAGGGACGAGTGATAGGCTGTGTTGTAACAATATTCGGCCCAGGGAAGCCAATCCACCCACTGTCGCGGTCGGCCCCCTACAAAACAACGGAGGTACATTTCGATCGTGCGGTTGACTACTTCCGTTTGGCCGTCTGTCTGAGGATGATAGGCGGAGGAGAAGGTTAAGGTCGTACCATGTAATCGGAACAGTTCCTTCCAGAAGGTACTGGTAAAAACGGGGTCCCTGTCGCTGACGATGGATTCCGGTTATCCATGTAGATGGAAAATATGTGTAAAGAAAATGTGGACGACTGAAATGGCACTGTATGGGTGTGCCATAGGGATGAAGTGAGCATATTTAGAGAAACGATCCACCACAACGAACAAAACCGACTTCCCTCTCACCTTGGGTAGTCCCTCAATGAAATCCATGGATATATTCGCCCAAATCTGCGTAGGAATTGAGAGGGGCTGAAGAAGGCCGGCTGGATGTAGGTTCTCCCATTTATGTTGTTGGCACGTGGAGCAGTTGTTGATGAAGTCCCGAATAGAAGTTTTCATTCCTGGCCAATGGAAATCCGCTCGGATACGATGCAGTGTCTTTTGAATGCCCTCGTGAGTGGAGTTATGTATACCGGAGATGACTGTGGGGATGGAGGAAGAATCAGCCGGAAGGTATATACGTCCTTTGTAAAGTACTAGCCCGTCGTGAATGGACCAATTGGAGTCGGTTGTCCCGAACTGTATCTTCTGAACAAGGTCTCTCCATTCCGGTGATTGTGGCAGCGTGTGCCGAATGTCTTCCAGTAGGGTGACTTGGGGTTGTGAAATCGCATGAAGGAGCATATTGTCTTCTTCTCGGCGAGACAAGGCATCTGCGGCACGGTTTAAGGATCCCGCCTTGTAGTCCACCCGAAAATCAAAACCAAGCAGTTTGCTGACCCAATGCTGTTGTGGCGAAGTGGTAAGCCGTTGTTCCAACAAATATTTGAGGCTGTAGTGGTCCGTCTTGACGACGAAGGACCTTCCCCATAAGTATGGCCGCCAGTGTTGTACTACCTTGGCCAACCCAATCAGTTCGCGTTCGTAGGCGGGTAATTTAAGATGGTGGTCCGCCAGTTTGCGACTGAAGAAGGCGACCGGGTGCCCTTGTTGCTGTAGAATGGCGCCTATGCCGGAGCCGGATGTATCACATTCAATTGTGAGCTCGAGGTCAAAGTTTGGCAACTACAGGACTGGTGTGGAGGAGAGGGCTTCTCTTAAACTCGCAAAGGCTGCATCGGCTGCCTTATCCCAATGGAAGGCATTTTTCTTGAGCAGATTGGTTAGTTGGGCCACCAAAAGTCCGTAATTTTGTACAAACTTGCGGTAGTAACCCGTCAACCCTAGGAACCTACGGAGAGCCTTGGCGGACTATGGTTTGGGCCATTCTTTGATAGCCTGAATCTTGGAGTCATCCACCTTGACCCCTTGCCCGCTGATCACATGTCCTAAGTAAAGGACCCGGCGTTCCCCAAAGGAGCATTTGGATCGCTTAAGGAAGAGTTTGTGCTGGTGCAGGAGTTCAAAAACGGTCCGCAGATGTTGTACGTGTTCTACCCACGACTTGTTGTAAACTAGGATGTCGTCAAAAAATACTAAGACAAATCTGCGGAGGTGGGATTGAAATACCTTGTTCATCAGAGACTGGAACGTGGAAGGAGCGTTGGTGAGGCCGAATGGCATGACTAGGAATTCAAAATGGCCATGATGTGTTCTGAAGGCCGTTTTCTCCACGTCTTTGGAAGTCATCCGGACCTGAAAGTAACCCGACCGGAGGTCTAATTTTGAGAAGTATTGGGCTCATGGAGTTCGTCCAATAGCTCATCTACGATGGGGATGGAAATTTATCCTTGACTGTCCGGTTGTTAAGCTCTCTATAGTCCACACAAAATCTCCAAGTTCCATCTTGCTTGGGTACCAACAGAACCGGCGAGGAGAAGGGGGAGGGGCTAGGACGAATGATTCCCTGCTACATCATATCCGTACACTGCCTTTCTATTTCATCCTTCTGTCGGTGTGGGTAGCGATAGGGCCGGACGACGACGGGATCCGATCCGGCTATTAGAGGGATCCAATGATCGCAAGCTCTGGAGGGTGGAAGCCCCTTGGGTTCTTGGAATACAACAGAGAAATCCGTGAGGAGCCTCTCCATATCTGTTGTGCGCATATTCTCGCCCTAAAGTGTATGCAACTGCGTTTTTGCCCTTATCCTGGTTCCCTGCCAGGTAACTGGGTTTCCATTCAGGTGGAATGTCATTGTTAGGGCGCTGAAATCCCATAAGATTGGCCCTAGAGTGATCAGCCACTTGACTCCTAGGACGATGTCGAACTCATCTAAGGATAGCACAAATAGATCAGCAAAGAAGGATTCCGATTCGACCTGAATGTTCTTGCAGATTTTGGGGCTGTGAACTCTTTCCCCGTTTGCCACAGCTACCTGTAGTTGTGGCCTGATTTCCATAGGTAACTCTAACTGGCTGCCTGCTCACTGACAAAGTTGTGCGTGCTTCCTGAGTCAACGAGGATGCGTACTGGTTTTCCTGCTACCTGCGCCCTCAGTTGCATGGTCTGTGAGGTTTTTATCCCTGTAATTGCGTGAAGGGAGATCTCGGGTTCTGATGCTACGGGTTCATCCTCGTCCTCTTCCTGTTCGTCTACCATAAGACAAAATAGCCTCTTGCATCTGTGCCCGACGGAATACAGATCATCGCAGTTAAAGCACTGCCCCCTTGCGCGACGCTCTGCCATCTCGGCTCGGGACAACCGTCTAATGGGTGGTGCTGTCATGCTGCTCCCCATGCTTGATGCCGTCCTGGAAGCGTTACCGGCAGGTGACCTCTGTTCCCTGCTGGCTGTCGAAGAAAGGGACACTCCGGTTGTCTTCGAAGGTGCCCAGGTCGTTGCCGGCCAACCTACACTGAAGGTCCCGCGGGTGAGTTGTAGTTTGCACTCGAAGGCGCGTGCTAGGTTCATGACTGTGACCAGGTTGGGAGGGTGTTGCATCTCCACGTCCACCCTTAGGGGTTCTGCTAACCCCGCGGTGAACATATCTACTTGCTGGTCTAGTCGTACCGAGGCTGCCCTGGCGAGAAGGGTTTGGAACTGTCGCTGGTATTCAGTCACGATTCCGGTTTGCTTGAGGTTAATTAATTCGCCCAGCGGGTTGCTCGTCAACGGGGGTCCAAACCTGAGGAGGCAATAAGATTTAAACAGTCCCCAACTAAGCCCGGGTTCTTCCTGTTCCAGACGGTAGAACCAGAGCTGTGCCTCTTCCGTTAGGTGGAAGGCGGCCAAACTGACCTTGTCTTTGTCATCTGTGCACTGGTTGCGAAAGAACTGTTTGCAGTGATATAACCATCCCAGCGGATCTCCGGTGCCGTT